CCCCAAAACCCCAAAACCCCAAAACCCCAAAACCCCGCATGTACTAAGTATATTAATTTCAGAGGAATTTATTATTTAATAATATACAATGAACGATCCAAAGGCCCTTCCTATTGACGACGAGGAAAAGGAAATTGAGCAGAAAATGATCAAGATCATTTCCCTCATGCCAAAGGAAGTCCAAAACAGATTCAAGGTTCTGAAGGTGCTTTCTGACAAGAGAAGCAAACTCTCAGATCAGTTTGAGGAGGAAATCAAGGCTCTTGATGCCAAGATTGCCGCTAAAAAGAAGCCACTTTATGAATAAAGAAGATAGATCATCTCAGGAGAACTCAAGGACTTCTCTCAGTTCACTCCTCAATTCGATACCACTCACAAGAAACTTCAAGAGGAGTGCGCTTTGATCGTAACCAAGAAAGCTAATGAGAAGAAGGAAGAGAAAGACGATGATGAGGAACTCAAGGTTGTTGATGTTGAAAACCTCAAGAATGTAGATGGTGTTCCTGATTTCTGGTTCAGAAGCATTAAGAACAATCAAATGATCTTTGAGTTAGTTAAGGAAAAGGATGAGGAAATTCTTAAGCATTTAAGACATGTTGAGACTGAGAGAACAGACAAGCCAAAGTCACTATTGGTAAGATTCTTGTTCAATCAGAATGAATTCTTCACCAACACTGACCTTAATCTTAAAATCTTCTACAAGGGTGATGATGACGAGGTTGAGAAAATTGAAGGAACTGAGATCAACTGGAATGAAGGTAAAGACCCAACCAAAAAGAAGATCAAGAAGAAGCAAAAGAACAAGAAGACCAACGAGACCAGAACTATCGTCAAGACTGTAGAAGCAGACAGTTTCTTCAACGTCTTCCAAAACAGAACTGCCCCAGATGAAGCCGCTGGACTCGAAAGTGAAGAGGAAAATGAACTCCACGATAAAATCGATCAAGCATTGAACCTTGCTGAAGATGTTGAGGATGTTCTCATTCCAGATGCCCTTGAATACTATCTCGGATTAAATGACGATCTTTACGATCCAGACATGATGGGTGATGAAGATGGTGATAGTGACGGAGAGGGAGATGGCAGTGACGGCTCTGATGACGACAAAAAGAAAAAGAAGAAGGGTAAAGGTGATAAGAAAGGTGGAGAGAAAGGACCAGATGGCCAACAACAAGAGTGCAAACAACAATGATGATGGAATTAAATAAGGACTTATTAATAATTACATTAATATTGGTAAAGATTACACAATCTCTATTTGATACTCAGATTAGGATCTTGGGGTTTTGGGGTTTTGGGGTTTTGGGGTTTTGGGGTTTTGGGG